TTTTTTTTTTTTTTTGACAAACTCACCAAAATTGGACAATAGACGGCTGGAAAATGTTGCTTTTCCATTTCTGCTGTGACATTTGGAGGGCAGAGTCACATTTTGGCATAAACAACATGAAAGCATGGGTCCATCTTGCTTTATATCAACATTTCAGATGCAGTGGAATGGGGGGATATTTGGGGCCCCTTAGTTCCAGCTCGGCATCATTTAAATGGCACAGCCTGTATGAGTGTTGCTGCTCAGCGTGTCTAAGCGTTTAAGACCACAGTGTACACATCTTCTCGTTGCTCCTTTCAATAGGATAACACACAATGTCACAAAGATCAGATCATCTGAAAGTGGTTTCTGGAACATGACAATGACTTCACTGCACTGAAATGGCTGCCACAGTTGCCAGATCTCAGTCCAGTAGAGCACCTTTGGGATGTGGTGGAACGGGAGATGTTCGTCCTTGATGTGCACGTGATGATTCTGCATCGACTGTGTGATGCAATCACGTCAACATGGACCGAAATCTCTGGAATGTTTCCAGCACCTTGTTGACGTGAAGGAAAAAGGAGGTCCCAGAAACATCATAAGCTTGATTATGCAGACTAGTGGCTGAAGAAAGAACTGACCTTTGGAGTTGGAGTTGTGACATCTGATTTCATTATCCAAGTAATCTGACAGGTTTTTTGTTGTTGTTGGTAAAAACAGTGAAAAATGGCAGTAAGAATATCTGATACACAGGCAATGGCATCATTTTCACCTATAAAATGTTGCCATAATAGTTCAGATATAAATTCAAACCTCTGTTATGCACAAGTTTGGTTTAGCCTCTGCTGTTCTGACAGTTACAGATTAACTGTGTTTTGTTACTGTGAATAATTCAAACCTAAAAACTGAACTTTAATATACCCTAAGAGCACCCAAGTCTTTTTTAAAAGCCAAACCCTGTCAAATGTTTTTGACTTGGTAACTCAGTGATCAATATGCTAATTGAATCTACTCTGCACTGTTGGCTCAGATAAGATGCACATACTTGGCACAATAATATTTGTGTATCTCTGTGATTTCCATACAATGTGGAGATTTGGCACAAAGTGGAATTTTTATGTGCCTTGTTACAAGCGGCAGAGTAAAAGCTGTCGCTTACAATGACGTGCACAAAACTAGAAAGCAGTTCACTGACTGCTGTTGGCAATTATTTTGCTGTGTTATAGGGCAGTTTAAGTCTGTAGTGCTTTCTTTCTGAGAAGTGCTGATGGGGTGACAATAACCACAGGAAAAAAAGGGGAAAAACTGTGGCCAAGAATTGATAAATTGGTTTTTGCAGTGGGCTCGGTGAAGGCATTATTTACAGTGGTGGGTTTTCCCCACTGCTGTCACTGTTACGGCAACAAATAGGAATGATCTAGTTTTCAGCGCTTGAGAGTAATGACCATAAACCCTGTGAAAACTGTTGTCGTAGTAAGATGCATTAGAATCAGTTTCACATACATAAAAATAATAATTTTGTAATGTAGTTGTGGCCACAACCAGCACCGCTGAAAAGTTGCTGAGAAGTTTTCTGAGACTATTGCAGCAAAGACATTGGCTTCATTGTTTAGGGCAGAGGAGAGGCTTTAAACCCAGCTTCAAACAAACATTTCTAACCAGTTTAGACAATGTCATTTGTATGTTGCCGTTAGAAATGATGTGTAGTTCATCACTCCATCGCCAGTCAGCGGTAGTTAGACCGCAGAATAATCTTTTTTTTTCTTCTTACTGGCACTACCCCTTGAGTGCACTGAATACAGACATCCAGCAGAGCAGACCATGTAGAAAACGTGATCAGCACTGTTGTACAGACACTTACAGAGCATGGAGTAGGGATGGGTACTGCAGCCAGGTATTAAACAGACCCTAGGGCTAAATTATAAAAGACTGTAGTGTCAATAAGCTGAAGTTATCATAATGTTTTGGTTTTGTTACTGGAGGCAAAAAAACCCCAACAAAACCAAACCCCAAAACAACACAAAAAACACGTTTATTATTGGTACATGAGGCTTATCTTTCTGTGCTCCTCTGTTAGTTATTAAGACATAAATCTGTGGTGCATTTTTTTTCTGTTCCCTATTTAGAAGACAGTTCTCTCTTTCTCTTTTGGAGCCTGCATGCAAGGGGCGGGACACGGGGCAGCTCTGTCCCACACACAGAAAATTAAATGCTCAAAAGTGTGGCTGAACTTTGCCAGAGTTGATGCTGACACTGGTTGTTGCCACAGTTGCAGCGGTCTTTTAATGCGGAAACACAGTCAGTGTGTTGAAACTTTAGTGAAAGTACATCACATTCAGATGAAGAAATGCAGTTTTTGACTGCAGAGCTGGTAGCACACCCACAATTATTCAAATTATCAGTTGTTTCATCTAAAATATGGACCTGGGTTAATGAGTCAAAGTCACTATTAGCAGGCTGACTGTTTCTGGTGAGTGTGTTCAGTCTGGGATGGTCATCATCTGGACCGTCGCTCCCAATCCCCCAAAATTTTTTTCATAATTTGATTGTTAAGTTACTCCAAAAAAAATCCCAATAAGAATATTAAATCCGTACCTTATTGCTGGTATCACATGTAGTTGGCAGGTGAAAATAACAATGGGAAAATGACAAATGGGAAATGACCCAAATATATTAATGACATTTTAAAAAGGTTGTCCTGTATACAACTTGCTGCCAGACCAGTCGAAATATAAACCTAAACCTCTGTTATGCTCAAGTTGGGATTTGCCTTTGCTGTGTTAACAGTGAGTATTTCACTGTTCACTGGTGGGCACTGCTATTAAACTTTGTATGAAAGCAATCCTGTTGCAAAATAAAACAGCCTATATAATACAATCAAATCTATCTCACAGCTGAATGTTTACAACAAAGCAGAAAATGGCATCCCGTGTTGTCATGTTTCTCGGTTAACAGATTTTGAAACTGATTCACGTTTATGTAGACACAATAAGTCTGTAGATGACAAACACAGCTCGACAACAGACTCACGTGACTGTCTGGGACCTGTTTTGAACAGGACTTAATCAAACCTTTATTTGTAGTGATTGTGCAGGTTTTATGTGTTAGTGATTTTATTTTTATTTTGGCTATTAATAGTTAAAATAACAACACAAGTGTTCATTAAAAATAAATTGGCAAAAAAGAATTGGATAAACAAACTTGACTGAAGAAGTAAAGATTGAGCTTATTACACCTCACCTTCTTAAAAATGGTGTATTCCAAATGGTTGTAAATAGATTTTAGTGATGATCATATTTCAGTTTTATATTTGTCCATCATCTTTATTATATTTATCTTGACTCCTGCTTCTTTAAAGTTGCCTTTTCTTCTGAGTTTATACAGTAATGCTCATTTCAAAAAGCTGCAGTGTTAATAGACTAATTCACAGCATTTTAAGAGGTTTGTTGTTAAACGTTTTTTTGTTGTTGTTTTTTTAAATAACCTGATCCATTTTATAAATAATTTTTGGTTTTCTGTTTCCCCAAGCCTCTAATTTAGTATGCTATTTTTATTGAAATGTCTTTAGTTTGATATAATATTGATGAAGTTTTAGGCATTTTTTTTGGAAGTTTTATAACATATAGTAGTCAGTTGTCATGCTTTGAAGTCTGTTCATACATGGTTACTATGTCACAGTCATTCATCATAATTTTGGCTTCATTTTTCATTATCCTAGTACCAGTTAATAAATACTTAGTACAGATCATTGTTGGAAGGAGGAAGAACTGACTACCTGTGGAAAAATGGCAGAAAATTACTTTTATTTTATTTCCATTTTCAATAATCATAACCAATTCACTGCACAGATGAGGTGGTGGTATAAAAGTTAACCTCTGCTCGCAAATAATTTGGAGTTGCGTTGTGGAAATTTTGATGACATCTGCTTGAATTTTGAAGGCTGTTTTAGCAAAATAGAAAACTTCTTTAGCACTTAGTCTGCAACTTCAGGCTCTTGTTTTAATAAGCTTATCCCATGTCAATAAACTGCACAAAACATAGAGGGGGGGGGGGTGTTCTAAATCACATGAGATTGTTTGGTAATAACAATTGTGCAAATTGGGTCTTTAAATTGGAAAATTGAGCAGTAGAGTGAAATATTTCACAAGTAACTAGACTGTTTGTTCTGGGAAAGCACAGTGCATTTACAACAAAATGGTGAATGGCCTCAAGGATAGAAATGTATCAGCCAGCTGATTGGTCTAGAATCTCATGGAGCCAGTGTCAAGAGAGGTACACACTTTGAAGCTGGCATCCAGTTGTAGGTTCATTTTGTTTTTGCAGATTAAATGTAGACCATTACATGGCTATTTATAACCTTTGTCGAGTAGCTATTTTGCATGGACTGGGTTGTGAAATACAATGGACATATTGAAGTTTATTGCAAATTCTTTGGGTAATGCCAGCTAGGTTGTAAGCTACACCAGTGTTGCAGTTTGTTTTAGGGGGGGGTATAGCAACCAATATTGGCTGTTAAAGGAGATTCATTGTTCTGTCCTCATCTTTTTTCTGACAAAGCAAATCCATAAGTGGGCCAAGGTCCTAAGTCTGTGATAAACGTAGTGAGCTGCCTTGAGCAAATGTCATGTGCTGAATCTCGGCGTGGTTTGCTTACCTTGCGTAACATTTTCTGTCACAGCTGATAGTGTTGAACCGTGATGTGTTCGTTAGTATTTATAGGTAAACTTTACTCTGCATGCTGGTTGACATGATGTTTCATAATCGTTGGGTAACAGGTTTTAGCCCAGAAGAAGATTGAGTTAACCGACCAAAAACAAAAGAAAAGATAGGAAGTTAGATTTGATGATTCCAGAGAGACTAGAAGACTTTTGTGTTAGTAGCTCGTTAAATGCCTGTTCTTTTAAGTATGGTACAATATGGTTTCTGTGCTAATTTCTTGCACTCGTTTCATTCAAAGTTCACTGAAGATGGACTAAAATTATTTTTAGAAATGGGAATTTGTTGTAATTCCTTTTAGCAACAAAGACCCTTGGCAGATATATTTAGATTTTCTTTATAGAACAATACAATATTTAGCGATTTTAAAATCATGGACAATGTTTGTTTGTTTTTTCCCCCCTTTTTTTCAGACAAAAATAATGAACATATTTCCCTAAAATGTATCCCTGCTGAGATAATGTAATGGAATAATCTCGTCACAATAAGTTATGAATTTGTTGTTTGTGGCATTAAATGTGTTGCTAATAGTGAAGTTGCAGAGTGCTCTGTAGTGGACGAACTGTGCGGCACAAACATGGTCGAAGGGTGTTTCTCCCATCTCTTCTTTACTTTAATTCTCATTTGTCTGTGATAAATTGGGAAACCAGTATATATGCAAATGGCTAATATCGGCACCATCAGGATCTAAACCTAAACACTAGTGTGAAGAAGTGCTAAGCTGTTTGGCTGAAGATACTGTTTTGGTATACGCATCTTACTATTTTGCCAGTTGTGTGGACACTAACAAAGCCACAATGTCAAAAAACTCATCAGAAACAGGAAAGCAAATGGTTATGAATTCCTTTAGGGCTTTGGCATCTTTGGCTGCTTCTCTATAGTAACTCTGCTCACTGTAAAATTTGGATTATTAGAATGCACTCTAGTGCTAGAACCTCCAAATCCCTGTCAAATTCTACTAGTGATAAATCAACCACTTATGTGAGAGTGTATGTGAATATACATGTGCCCTGTCTGCTGCTGTTACAGGGAAGGTTTTTGGTCAGGTCTAGACTGGCTCTGTAATACAGTACATACCAGCAGATCAGCTGTGAGCAGATCCTAGGTTCATTTATAGCTGTGGCCTTGTGTCCCTGCATGTCTGCCTGGCAACTCGTAACTCTGCTGTTCCAACAGCTCAAGCTCACCCACCTCCCAGACACTCTGGCCCCGTTATACTCTCACCATGTCTAATTACTAGATGCACATTAGTCTGGGGAATTTAAATGTAGGGCATTCTTTGTGTAGCTTGTACCTCAGTGTTAAATGTAGGTACCATTGCTGCTGTTGGGATGTTCTCACCTGTGAGTTAATCAGCTTTGTCTTCTTTTATATTCAGGTCCCAGGGGCTCCTATTAATGAAGAAAGTGGGCATCATGTGGAGCAATCTGAAGAGCAGATGCCAGACACTCTTCCACAACAACAGTTCAGGACCCCATGAAAGCAGGATTGAGGCAGACACTGTCCACTGTGTGGTGGACATCGGTCAAGGAGGCAGCTCAGGTGGGGCACAGGCATCAGGAGCCTCCAGCCCGTCACGAAGCCTCCTACCAGTGCCAGTGGTAACAGCAGGGCGCCGTCATCATAATTGTGTGTCGGACATACCTCAGATTGTAGAGATAACTATTGACAAGGACGCTGAAGATGTGCGGGGTGGGTCCGGGGGTGTTCCCTTGGCTCGTAGAGACTCCTACTCCCGTCATGCCCCGTGGGGGGGCAAGAAAAAACACTCATGCTCCACCAAAACCCAAAGCTCTTTGGAGGCAGATAGGCGGTCTGGCCGCTTGCGCGGGAGTGGGAACCGTAGGGACAGGCGCTATGGGGTCAGCTCTATCCAGGAGACAAATGACTCTGTATCAGTAGGACGCAGTCTGAATGGTCGGTCTCTGCGCCAGCGGCTAAGTGATACAGTTGGGTTGTGCTTACCCCTGCCTGCTCGCAGGTGCTCACGTTCCTCTAAGAACGCCGTCACCTCCAAACGTAAGATTCACCTCACTGAGCTCATGTTGGAGACCTGCCCCTTTCCACCAGGCTCAGACCTTGCTCACAAATGGCACTTGATCAAACAGCACACAGCACCAGTCAGCCCGCATTCCTCTACTGCCCTTCTGGATGCTTTTGACCCAGCCCACCCCTCTCCCGAGGATGAGGAAGAACGTCTGCGCGAGCGCCGCAGGCTCAGCATCGAGGAAGGTGTGGACCCACCACCCAATGCACAGATCCACACCCTGGAGGCCTCAGTGCCAGGATCCTCTCTCTACAAACTGGGACCAAAAATGGCTCCTGGCATGGGAGAGGCCTCTGGGGAAGGCCGGGTCACAGGGGCCGGGAGCGCTCTGGCTGCTGCATCATCAGGAGCCTGTGGGCAGTTGTTGGGGGCTGCAGCGTCATCCCAGGACTGTGACTCTGAGGAGGATTCGACCACCCTTTGTCTGCAGGCCAGGAGGCCCAAGCAGAGGCATGCTTCAGGGGATGGTCACCTTAGCCGACAACAACCCGGTCCCTGGAAGGTTCATACTCAGATAGACTACATCCATTGTCTGGTGCCAGATCTTTTAGAGATTACAGGTCTGCCCTGTTACTGGGGCGTAATGGACCGCTACGAGGCAGAAGCGCTGTTGGATGGGAGGCCCGAGGGCACCTTCCTGCTGCGTGACTCAGCCCAGGAGGACTACCTCTTCTCTGTTAGCTTCCGCCGTTACAATCGCTCCCTGCACGCACGCATCGAGCAGTGGAACCACAACTTCAGCTTTGACGCTCATGATCCTTGCGTTTTCCACTCTTCCACTGTCACAGGACTGCTGGAGCACTATAAAGACCCCAGCGCCTGCATGTTTTTCGAACCTTTGCTTACAGCGCCTCTTCATCGGACTTTCCCCTTTGGCCTGCAGCACCTGGCACGGGCCGCCATCTGCCGCTGGACCACTTACGATGGTATAGGGTCTCTGCCATTGCCTCCTGCCCTGCAGGACTTCCTCAAGGAGTATCACTATAAACAGAAAGTACGAGTTCGCTGGCTGGAGAGGGAACCGCCACTCAAAGTCAAATAGGGCGGCTTCTCCATTGCCTGTTAGACATGCTGCAGGAGGAATTCATGACTTTAGAAATTCCTCATTAGCAAAATGGAAGCTATACTGATATGGCTTTCTTACCGGTGGGGGATCGAGTTTAAGTGTAACAAGCTATACAAGATTCATTCTAAACTTTGTTTTAGTTATTACTTACATCACAAAAGTACATATGATTATATTCAGTATAATGCTGTCTGGCAAGCACATGTTTTTGCGTTGAACAGGTTGTTTTGACAGGGAGGGGAGACACAAATATCAGTGCTTTGTGTCTTTTTTTTTTTTCCTTTCTCCTGCTTTGTGCTAAGTGTCTGCCTGATCCAACAACATCACCCTGCCTGTAGACCTGCCTGCATGCCTCCCCCGTTCATCCTAAATTGCTATTTAGGCTTACATGGCTATGTTGTACAGCTCACTTTGTGCGCTCTTACTTTTCTTCCTTAGCTTGTCAAAGCACCTAGTGGAGCACCTTTACAAGAGAAGGTGTGTGTGTGTGTGTGTGTGTGTGTGTGTGTGTGTGTGTGTGTGTGAGTGTATGTGTGTGTGTGTGTGTGTGTGTGTGTGTGTGTGTGTGTGGGTTGAGAGGGGATCTGGAGGTGCTATTTTGGTATACTGCAGTCAGAGCTTGTCCTATGGATAGAGCTACATAAGTCATATTCTTTGCCATCTCGTTGCATGCATCAGTGAAGCCAGAGATGAAGGAAAACAAGTGATTTCTAAGGATTATGCGTAAGTCCTAAAGGAACATTAGTTTCTCTTTGAGCAGTATCGTGAGTGATGATTAATAAATCAGTTGACTGTGTGGCATTTAGTAAGCAAGCTAAACTTGTCAGCTTTATTCCACCTGTGTGGCATTGCTTTGAAAACATGACAGATTGTGAGGAAATCTTGTCATTGGTGCAGTTGTGAAAGCAGCCTGTCACCTCTTCACTGACCATAGGCAGTTTGGCATGTGGACACATGCACCCAGTTCAGTTCTTCCTGAAATCGAGGTTAATATTTTATTCCGTTTTATAGGTGCCTCCTTAAGCTCACGATCCATTTGTTGCATCAGCAATATCTGTATATTCAATATATAAATATAAATAAAAAATTCAAATATATAAATAAATCTCAATCCATGAATTCAACATATGTAATTACAATTGAAACATCAGTGCAGCTAGGCCTGGGTTCTTTTGGTTACAATAAAGAATCCTAACAAATGTTTTTCATAGGAAGTGAGAGCAGCTGTGTAAAGACTATCTCTTTAAGCAAGTCGATTTACAGTGTAGTGAGGCAGTAACGAGCCTTGTTCAAGATCGGGCTGTGTCATGAGACACTTCATATAGTTATAGATGAATGAAGAGCATTTCAAAAGCTCAGCAACAATCTTCTAAAATAGTAAAGAACAACTCCCAGGATTAGACTGCAGTGCTACTTTCTCTCTCTGTTCATTGTCATAATTACAGTATTAAATGATGAGAACCCTCAACTCTTGAGAGGCGGGCATATCCTCATTTTAGTTATCTAGCCTGTCATTTCCATAATGTCTTATTAAGCGTAACCTGTGTGCCTCATACATGTCCAGTAATATGTTACTTTATTTTCCAAACAAGAGTGGGAGGTGCCTCAGCACGATCCACTCGGCTCTCATCAAATAAAACTGAAGATGGTCATAATGAAGAGTTGAAGGAGCAATAAGCTCAATATTTATTGTGCACATTAAAGATTTTATAATGGATAACATTTTAGTGGTGCTATGTTGATTAAGCTCTTGCAGATTATTGAAATAACGGTGTGCATTAGCCACATCTGTTCCGACTCTGTGCGCGCATTAGCCGTTCTTTATTGTTGGGTCCAGAGTCAGTTGTGCTGCTGTAGCATGTTTCAGTTTAGATAGCCAACCTGTCACATCTATATTGTTTTCATCCTCAGCTTGTCAGACAGCTGTAATGAGTGAGCTTTAAGCTTAACTCTCTACTGTGAGCATGTTGAATGATCTAACTAAGCTATCAGTATTAAAATCAGTTCATCAGCACAAGTATTTGTTCAGTCTCCTGAGTAGTTGTAAATATGCAATAACTGGCTTTTAAATAACTGACATAAGTTGAAATTTTAATAAAATGTATAGATGACTGAAGGAGGGTGAGATGGGTGGAGACTGAGTAGTTTCATTAGGGTGTAATCCTTCACATTAATGTTTCAAACTAAAATATTTAAACTGAGATACAGATGAGATCATGATCACCGAGCCTACTCTCTCGAGTTCTCAAACTGTTTTTGTTTGTTTGCTCATGTCAGCCCACTCAGCTGTTAAAAGATGTAGTTCCCATCAGTAAGGATGAATCATGAACAAATATATAATTTATTTCTTATATCTGCATCTGTGACCAAAGCTCTTGCACAAACCTACATGTATTAACTAGTAGTTTAAAGCTTATGTAGTGTTAGACTTTAACTAGTTTAGATTTTGGTTTTACAAACAATTAATGGCTAGTTCCCTACTACACTATGTAAGACTTAGAGCTACACCATCAACTCGCTACCAGATACCTTTCCTCTGCTAAACAGTCGTCCAGTTTTCCTCATTTATCAATGAGGATTTTTCTGCAGGTGGTAACACGATTGGTTAAAGGACTTCACCAACCAGTATTAGCTTTTTCGGCTATTTTGTGAACTGATCAAAGTTTTACTTCTTGTTTACTCAAAAGTTGTAGTACTCTAACAGCACTGCAGGTCTCTTTGTATGTTAATCACTGGTGTTAACTGAAGTGGCAGGCGTGACTCTTAAGAGTGGAATAAGGCTGACACGGAGTTTTCTTGCATGTGCACTTCTATGTTTGAGGTATTTTAGCTTCCACACTGAACTGTACAAATGAAACCCCCAAACTACGCATACGTCAGACCGTCTTTCTCACTGTGTCTTGTCTCTCACGCTGCAGCTTAGCAATAGAACACAGCTGCTACAGTACAAGTGCTGCATCCTATATGCAGACACAGATCAAAGGCCAGCGTTGCCATTCTGGAGCCCACGGTCACGGTGCTGTAAGGTCCAGTCTGTGTTGCTTTTTCTTTATTATTATAATAATATACAAACTGTTCCCTCGCCGTCCAGCCACATCGCTGACATTACTGTGACGATGGTGTCCTGTTTAGGCTGAGGTGAACAATAAGGAGGGAGGGAGGAGATGTAGCTGGCTTGCTGAGTCCTGGCTTCCTGTTGCTGCAACAGCATGCTCACAGAGAGGACAAGGGATTTGTCTAAATAAATAGCACTTTAATTGTGTATTTGTTTTATGCAGAGCAGCCCGCAAGTGTTGGGACAGTGACATGTTTGTTTAGTGTTTTTCCCCCTGTCTTTAGTCCAGCATATTGGATTTAATCAAGCTGAGGAACAGATAAGTGTGTGGTTGGAGTTGTTGACCTTTTAGTCGACTTCTCAGAACAAAATTTACAAGTAGGGTCAACAGATTCAGTCTTTTGCAACTAATCCCTGCTGAACTGAGTGATTGCTTTCACTCTTATGTTGAGGATCACTGTTTGTCTGCTTTGATCCAAAACAGAGGAATTGCACTATCCACACCCCCGCAGGGATTTGACTACTCCAAAACCTACTGAGAAATTTGAATAGTTTTCATAATTTTGATACCATTTTGCCGAATTAAAGATCCAAAACAACTGAAAATGTTCCACTGTCCAAATTCTTGTGGAGCGTACCGTGTGCGCGTGCGTGTTAGCTGAAGATGGTGAGACTTGGGTGAGTGTTACGAGGGGTGGGGGGAGCCGGTGCTCCTAAAATATTTCACAGGTGTTGTAGGGTGTGTTGATGGGAGTCGTTTTCTCCGCCTCGCTGAAGACTCGGTGCGTTTGTGTGCGTTTGTGTGTGGATGTATGTTAGCTTACGGACAGAGCCACACAGGGAGAGTTTCCCGTGGAGAGACGGGCAGAGTTGAATGTGAGGGGTGACGACAGTGACTCCTATGAACAACGCCTCTCTGCCCCAGTTCTCCCCCCGCCTCCCCACTTATTCTCAGGCAGGCCCATTGCAAGGAGAGTCCCAGGACCCTCTCAACCCAGTTTTCCCCATGGGAAATATCTGACATTAACCGTAGCACGTTTGCCATATAACCCGTAGATTTAGGTGAGAAAAAAACCAACGTATGAATGATGGATTTACGTAATAGCCTGATGAAAAGAAATTTTATTCTTCAGTGGTGCATACACTGTCTGGAACACACACAGATTTGCACACACTATCAACACTTCTTCTAACAAATGCACTACCCCAGGTATTCACACACCCTCCCTTCCCCCCCAAGCCAGGGATGTATAAACATGGACCACATTTAGCCAGCGCCACGTTTCTGTGCAACACCCAGCCCACACACACACAAAAAAGGGAAGGTAAAGCTGTGTGTGTATATTCTGTGTTCTTAAGCCAAACAAAATACCACAAAAAAAGCTCAACATTTCATTAGTATGACACTACTGGGCTGCACTATGAGAGCCTTGTGTGTGGAGGCAAACCACAAACTCTGCTCTAGATGAGAGATGGTTGTCTCCTTAGCTGTCCCTTAAAATAATAGCAATACCCCTGGATGTAGGACATATAAACCACCACCACCACCACGGTACGACTCATGGTGTCAGATCCTAGAGGAAAAAGAGAGAAACAAAAATAAATAAGAGATATTTAATTTTTTCATGTTCCCATATATAAATATATATATATATTTTAGAAAGCTGGGTTAAGTGCTTTATGCAAACAGAAGTATGAAAGAATTATTATTTTTCCTTATTACTGCTCCCTAATATGCAATGGAGTGTAGTGTAACAATGGTTGCAATCCTCTGTCACTTTAATGCTGTATGTGCACATTGGTTGCTGGGTGGATGTGGGTGCCGAGGCAACAGGACTTGACAGTGATGGGAACTAATGGTTGTCACTCTGCAGCACCGGGATGTTCCCAGACTGCCCTATTCGTTTTGGCCAATCACAGAAAGCCCTTTAAATCCGGGGCCACAGCCGCTGCCGCGGGGCTGACCAAACTGTCGTCAGACGAATATCGCCGTTCTGTTCTTTTCTGCTTTTCCTCACCCTTTTCTTTCTTTCGTCTGCTGTCAGGTAGAATTCGGAGCGTGTAAATGGCATAATCATGTTCACATTTCACTGTCTGTTCTGTGTATCTGCATCACCATTCAAAGAGGAAAAAAAACAGTTGTTTTTCAGTATAACCTGTTCATTTTTAAGAGCCGTATGATGCGACACTTGTAGCTGTCACTCTTGGTGCTTGGCTTATGCTTCATTGTCTTAATATTCCAAATAAAACTGTTAAGTGTAATCCACACTGGCCCATGATATAATGTGTATGTATTTTTTTTCCCCCTTTATTATTCCAGCTTACACGTCCGGATTAGCCAAAAGTAGATTTACTGCAGCTCACTACAGTTTAGTTTGTCTTATTTTCCCCCACTCAAAACTACCAATCCTTAGTGTTGTCCCACCTGCCAAATCCTACATTGTACACTCGTACAGGACACCATC